GATGTATAAAGTAGTGCCATAATAATACTAATTTCTCCAATAAATTGCTTTATTCTTGCCTAGAGACTACAGAACTCCAAGTAAATATACAGATAAAACAGTGATAAATATGCTAGATTCCTGTTACTGAAAACCACCAGATCTTGTCTAAAGAGAGTGTTATATGATACATATCAAGGCCCTAAGTAACTATACTCAGCAGGCCTTAAATGACACCGTTATCTCTCTCCTAAATAAAAAGTAAAATTAATGAAACGGGCTATGGGCCAGGGATATAGCTCAGTGGCATAACACCTGCCTGGAAAATGCAAGGTCCTGAGTTTGATCCCCAGTACCAAAAAAATAAATAAATAAAACAGGTCATCCTTCAAAAGCAAATTAATAGCTTTGCAGCAGTCACTCTCCAAAATCAATATGCTCTCGATGTTCTGACAGCTGAGAGAGGAGGCACCTGTGCTATATTGGTAGAAGAATGTTGCTACTTTGTAAATCGATCTGGGATCCCTATGGACAAGGTAAAAAATCTTCACACCTGGCTTGAGCATAAACGACCAGAGCTAAAAAACTACCTCTCTCTCCCTATACCATGGTCCTGGTAGAATGACACATTTGGGTCATGGGCACTGTTCTTACTACCTCTTCTGGGGCCTATAATCATGACAATAACCTGTTTACTTGTAGGGTCCTACATTTTTAAACTTTTGTCTAGTTTTATTCAATCCAGGCTTTGCGCAATTACGGCCAATGAACTTGTCGCTCTAGTAGACATCTCCAACACTGGCATTAACAGAGGTAACACCCATCATCCCCTCACCCCCTATCATAGCAACGCCCCTGTTCAGAAGGAAGCCATCTAAGAGGAGTCATGGCCCCCTATAACCAGACAGGAATGATAGGTTTCTCACCTCACTGTAATTCCTGCTGAGTCACTATGGCATCCAGCCAATATGGCGCTGGAGGTCATGTGGTATGGTGCTGAGCGAGGATGGTGCTAAGCCAATATGCTGCTGGCCACTAGAGGCCATGTGCTAAGTCCCACCCCTCTTCCTCTGAGTCAAATTATGACTTCCTACTTCCCTTTTTGTAATATCCTGTTTCCTTTTCCCATGCTCCTGCCCAATCCTGGTCTGCCATGTCAGGTGGTCTGCCTCCTAAACCCCGCCCCTAGCCTGGGGCTATTTAACCTTGGACCCCAGGACAGGCCCTCAGAAGTTCCATGTGTCTCTCTTTCCTTGTGGTCTTCTCTGTGCCCACAGTAAAGGCATTTTATTCTGCTTTACTTCTCTCTGCACTGGAAAATCCTATCAGTGAGAGTGGGGTATTAAGGTTTCCCACTACAGTTGTTAGTGCTTATGTGGTTTTTCATGTCTGTTAGTATTTGTTTTGCGTAGTTGGGTAAACCTGTTTGGTGCATAAATATTTATGATTGTTATCTCTTCTTCTTGGGAGTTTTGATTTAATAAGTATGTAGTGACCTTTCTTATCTCTTTTATTGTTTTATTTTAAAGTTTGCATTGTGTGCAAATAGAATAGCTAACATCCTTTAACTTTTAGTCTATAAAGTTTTTGGTTTAAATGTTTCTTGAATGCCACATATTTTTGGATCTTGCTTCTTGATCCACTCTGCCAGTGTTTCTTTTGATTGGTGAGTTGAGACCATTAATGTTGATGGTTGTAACTGGTAGTATGTATTGGCTTTTTTCACATTATTTTCCTGTTATTTGTTCCCTGCCTTTCTCCTGTTTAACTGCTTGCCCTGCCTGATGGCTTCTATTGGTGTCATATTTGTGGTCTTCATTATCTCTAATATTGTCTTCAGAGCATCCTGTAGAGTTGGTCTTGTGGTCATAAATTTCTTCAGTTGTTCTTTGAATGACTCCTTTTTTTGGTCCTAATACTGGTGTTTTGTGTCTTCTCCCCTTTTTTTGGGGGGTTGTTAATCTTATTGTTTACAAACAAGATCATTTAGTTCAGTTTATTTTATAATTTTTGTTTTCAAATCCATTGTTTTCTATTATTTCCTTCCTCCTGAATTGGATTTAATTTGCTGTACTTACTCTAGTTTCTATTTTGATTTTTTTTGTTGTTGTTTTGTTTTTGCTTTTTGAGACAGGGTCTCACCAGGTAGTTCAAAACTATGTAGCCCAGGTTAGCCTTGAACTCCTGGCAATCCTCCTGCATCAGCCTCTCTCGTGCTGGGATTATAGGCATGTGCCACCACAACCATGAGACCTTTCTTACGTAAGAATTTAAAGCAATAAAATTTCCTTTAAACACTGCTTTATCTACATCTATGATCTTTTCCATTTTTCCCAAATACAGATACTCCCCATTTAATGATCTACCTGTTTAACAACTGTATGGACTTGTGACTGAGTCGTGCTATTCACAAGCTGCTGCTTGGATTTACGACACAGAAGCATGAGTGGCAGTGTAGCCTTACGGTGGCTTCTACAATACAGTACTTTAATTTTTGCTGATTATACTGTATGGTTCAGCAGCTTTATATTGTTACACATTATAGTGCTGCATGTAAGTTATACAAATGAAAACAAAGTCATCCAGTCAGTGTTTCCTTTGACCATTTCATTGTTCTGAATATTGTAACATACCCACTATACACAATTCCTCATTTAGCAAGCAATTCACTTAATGACCTTATGGCATGACTGTCAAATGAGGAAAGTATTTCCTAACTCTTAAGATTTACTTGATCTATGGATTAATAAGGTTTGTTTTATAAACCAGGATATGATTATCTTGTCAATGGTCCATGAGCACTTGGAAAGAATACACATTCCACATGTCTGTGAAGTGTCCCATAAACATCACTTAGGTAAGTTAGTTGATAGTGTTCAGCTCTTCTACACCTTTGCTCAACTAGCTCTATGGATTACTGAGATAGGAGTGTTGGCACTTCTGGCTGTACCTGTGAATTTGTGTATTTCTTCTGTCAGTTGTCTCAGCTTCTGTTTTATATATGTACAGAGCACTAAAAGTGAGGCCACAGTGTGGATATGCTTTGACCCTCAGTGTGGCAGTGCTGAAGTGGTGAAACCCTTCAGAGGTGAGGCCAGAGGGAGGCAGTCAGGTCCCTGGGTCACTGCCCTGGGAAGGGGTGAACGCTGGTCTGCTGCAGTCAGTTCTTGTAAGAGGGTTGTTATAGAAGCAGTGCCTCTGCAGCCCTGGCACCCTCTACATATGTTCTGCCAAGTTTTGACCAAGCCAGGGGGCCCTTACTAGAGGCCAAATGGATTTTCAGTCTCTAAAACTGTGAGCTATATAAACCTCTTTTCTTCCTAAAGTATACAGTTTTAGGTATTTTGTTACTCCAACCAGATTAACGATAGATATACGTATTTTGAAGTATGACTCCTTATGAATCATCTCTTTTATCATTACAGTTGTGATGGACAACTTCAGCATACTTTGAAAACGAGGTAGACAGGTAGATTTGGACTTAGGATGTGGAGGCCAGGCTGAGGCAGTACAAAGAGAAGCCTGCTCTGAGGAAACTGGGCTGAACGTCAAGAGGAGTACCGAATAGAACAGGCAGTCAGCTAGAAGGAGCTGCAGTGATGCAGGCACCAGACAATAGTCTAACGTGGCTGTGCAGGGCCATCCAAGAGAGAGCATCTTGCTCCTAATTTTACACAAGAGGTGTATGTGCCTCTTCAAAAGAACTGACTGGAAAATAACAAGTTCATAAACTCCAGGTGCCTGCCAGCCTCTCAAGCCTCTGCCTACTCTTTCAACCTACAAGTGAGACAAGCACTGCCTCGGGAGTGTAAGACATTTTTCTTACATACACACTTTATGTATAAACATGTATACTTCCTCAGTATTAAACTATACATGAGGCAATTTTAGGCAATATACTGCTAGACTTTCATATATAATTTATTACAAATATTTGTAGGGTTTATAAAAATAAAAATACAAAGTAAATGTTCCTATTTATCCCTTTTATGTAACTGATCATACTATCCAGCTCATAGAATTGTTATGTGGGGGCCAGGGATATAGCTCAGTGGCATGACACCTGCCTGGCAAGTATGAGGTCCTGAGTTTGATTCCTAGTACCAAAAAAAAAAAAATTAAAAAAAAAAAGATTGTTATGAGGTTTAAAGAAGCAAGTTAGGCAGTATAAAATAAAATAGCATACTTTCTGGCATACAGTAGGTGTATGTTAAGGTTAGCTTACTGTTAACACTGGCCAATGTTAGCTCACACATAGGTCTGACATAAAATTTACCTCTTGTAAGTGGGAGCTAGACTAGAATCTTGAATTCTTTCAAGTTACATATGATCTTTATAGGAGATATAAAATATCCACTTTGTGGGTAACATCACTACTCCTTTGCACAATTTTATTACATTATGAAGGGCTTCCTAATGTTTTTGGCTCAGCCTTTCTCCTCTGGATTCTTCTAGCAGCTTCTGGCACACCACCTTGCCCTCTCCCTAGCCATCACCAGGGAGTGGACTTCTCAATCTGCTACAGCAACAGTGCTGACAGCTCGAGTCTCCTGCCTCTGAGGGCCCAGGCTGTATCCTGGTCTCTTCCTTTCTTACCTCTTGTCTGATAAATCTTTGCTTAGAGGACATACGACTCTCTTTCTTGCTTTAGGTGAACCAAAATGACTCTGACTTATACTTTCAAATACTCTAAAAAGTGTTACCAGATTTGGTGTTTTCTGCATGTGCAGTGAGTTAGTGATGCTATTATTTTCCCCAGTAACAAAACAGTATGATGATTGTGGCTTTAGCTTCATGGCATCTGTCTGATAATATCAGTACTAATGCACATTTAGAATCTTGTATGTACCTGGAAAGTTTTGTAGTTGTGTATTATGTTACAGAAATTGCACTCTTCAAGTTTATACTGTATCCAAGTGCAGAATCTGGTTATATTTACGAACCAATGAGAAAGATAAATACTGAATTCTTGTGTTTTAACAACAGAAACGGTGAAGGACACCAAGTTCAGGAACGGTATATCAAAAGGTATTACTCTACTTTATTTATAATAGTAAGAAACTGGAAACAAATGTCCAACAGGAGACTGGTTTTAAAAAAAATTCACAGAATCATAAATTTTAAGCTGTAAAATGGAATTGTGAGCTATTATGAAAAATATTTCGTCGAAGTACTGCATGACATGCAGAGATCTAACTCTTACTAACCTCTTAATCTCAACTTCTTCACTCATTCTCAGACTAACTTAGCTTCTTGTTTTATTGAGAAACCTCAGTTAAACGGAAAACACATCTGCAGTGTACTGCCGCACGAACCCACAAGCCTGCATGCCAGCGCAGCCTGCCTCTCCTGTCCCAAGGGTGGGAGCACCAGCTAAGAACCACTCTTCCTTTGCAGTGCTCTGCGCTCCATCCCTTCAGCCATTGGCTAAAGAGCCACACACCAGCATACAGACACCAGAGGGCGCTCCAACAGAGGAATCCAGTAAGTGACTCCAAACCATGAATCTGGAACAGGCACGGACGTAACCACTCTTCATCTATACAAAACTACAGAAGAAAAGAGTAAAAACACATTAGATTGTGAAAATTACCAACTGAGCTTTCCCCACTACCTCTCTACTCGCAAAAATCATGCAGCAGGAGAAAACACAAAAATCCAAAATGAATTAATTCCTTTTTGGGAAACGAAGAGAACACCTTCAATTACAATTTAAGTGGAATGGAACAAAAATTGGAAATAATGAAATAAGAGCTGACTGGCCCCGGAAATAAGGAAAAATATCCCATAAAATCTATTTATAATCCCTTAAAAAGTTCATAGTTATGAAGACAATTACTACACAAGGAAATCTACAGATTTCGTGCAATTCTTATCAAAATCATAATGACATGTTTACAAAAATAGAAAAATTCCTTTTAAAATTTGTAAGTAATCTTAAGTGATCCTGAATAACCAAAATGATTCTGAAAAAGAACAAATAGTTCACTATGTAGTTCAGGCTGCCCTTGAACTCAAAGTGATCCTCCTGTCTCAGCCTCTCACATGCTGGGATTATAGGCATGCACCACCACACCCAGCAAAACTGGACTTCTTCCTTTTTTTTTTTTTTTTAAACATTGGACTTCTTAAAAATTAAAAAAAAAAAAAAACTTTCATGCATCAAAGGACACTATCAACATACTGAAAAACCAACTGATAGAATGAAGAAAAGATCTGCAAATTATATAATCTCGTAAGTGGTTACAATCCACAGTAAATAGAGAACATCTAGAACTATTTAAAAAAAAAACCAAAAAACATTAACTACAAAAGTGGCAAAGCACCTGCACAGACATTTCCCCAAAGATGATTGTGTGAATGGCTAATGAGTACATGAAAATACTTTGCTCAGGGTCACTGAGTACAAATCGAACCTCACACCAATTACAATGACTGCTATCATTCGGTGTCTTATTAAAACGAACAGAAAGGGCCAGGGATTTAGCTCAGTGGCACAGCACCTGCCTAGCAAATGTGAGCTCCTGAGTTCAATTCCTGGTGCAAAAACAACAACAATAACAAAACCCAAACTAACAGAAATTAAAGGCTGTGAAATTCGAACCCCTGGGCACTACTGGTCAGATAGCTACAGTAGAAAACAGTACGATGGTTCCTCAAGTAATCAAGAATAGAATAACCATATGATATACTAATCCCACTTTAGGACATATACCCAAGAGAACTGAAAGCAGGATTTTAAGTTAAAAAAGATAAATGCTACCTTGATGCCACTTACATGGGATACCCAGAACCGTCAGAATCACAGAGACAGAAGGTAGAATGACGGCTCCTGGGGGTTGGGGACAAGGCAGACAAGGTGTTCGGTGGACAGAGTTTCAGCTCTGTAGATAAAAAATGCTCCGGAGAGGGGTCTTGGGGATGGCTGCACAGTCTGAGTGCACTAACCTGACCGGGGCGGTGAACACATGAAGATGCTTTCAACACCATTAGTCATTAAGAAAATGCAAACTGTAACTACACAGAAATGCCATTTCGCCTCTCCTAGAAAAGGTACAATCAAAATGACTGATAATAACTAGTTTTGTTACAGTAATTAAGGCAGTACGCTATCAAAGAAAGACCAAACTTAGAGATCCCAGAAACAGACCTTTGCTTGATGGAACTTGATACATATCAGAAGGGGCATTATAGGTCAGTGGAAGAAGAGGAGTCTTTTTAACCAAATGATGCTTGGGAGACTGATTATCCATGTGGGGGTGAGGGAGAAAAGGAATAGTACAAACATTAAGAAGAAATCAGTAAGTCTTACTTCTTTATCCCTCCACTCACAGCCATACCCAGTCTCATGCATCATCTGCACCTCCTCCCCTACGTAAGGTACAGGAGGTGGAACGTACTTCTCAACTCTTGGCTTGGAGCTGGGCCGTGTGACTACTATGGCCAACGTGATACAAACACGATTTTGCCCCCTTGGGCCTCTCCCAGCGGAAATAGAAGAACATGCCTCCGCTAGCCCACAGGTCCCAGAAAGGAATGAGATGGACATCAGACAAGTAAGAATCGTCCCAGAAGACCTGCTGCATGAAGCAGAGCCAAGCCAGCCAAGGCCACCCGAGGCTTCCAGCCCCCTGCAAATGCGTAAGAAAACGCTTTTTGTTATATGCTACCAAGAGCTGTACGTTGGCTGTTAAGCACCACCCCTGTGGCGACTGTCAATTGATAACATTTTCAATGGGCTTTAAGTATAAATATATAAAATGAAATATCCAAATTTAAGAAAAGAACGGTAAATTACTTTATCACCTCAGAATAGGGAAGGATTTCTTAGATTAGAAACAAAACCAACCATAAACAAAAAGATCACCAAAATGAATAATTTTGAAAAGACAGCCTATGAAATGGGAGAAGATCCCTTATATTAAAAATATACAAAAATCAATGTATAAAAGACAACTGGACCAACAGAAACATGGCAAACCACGGTTACAGTCCTTTCACTTGGATAAAACTGAAAACCCAGTAAGCCTAAGGAAAGGTGCGGTGTTTTATGCAAAGAAAGCTATGAAAAACCATTTCTACAAATACTAAATTAGTTAAAAAAAAAGAAGTACTAGCAACCATGGAATAAAAGAAATTCTATATAAATATTATAAATACTTTTAAAAGTATCTTAAACTTATATAATTCTACTCCTTGTCATATACCTTCAAAACCTGGACACATTTATTCCAAGAGAATACAGATGAATATTTATAACAGTTTGGATTAAAAAATTTAAAATAATCTAAATGCCCATTAACAGTATAACTAAATTATAACATATTCATAGATGCTACATGCAGTAAAAATGCATGAATGACAGATATGCCTACATAAAAGGACTTTCTTTTCTCCTTTTGGTACCGGTAATCAAACTCATGACCTTGTGCTTACCAGGCAGGTGCTGTGCCACTGAGCTATATCCCTGGCCATAAAAGGATTTTAGCAGCATAATGTTGAGTGAAAATAGCAAGTCACCAATTTAAGAGTATTGCCAACCATAAGCAAAACTAAACATTATTTAGTGAATTATATACATTTAATAAATGTACAAAGAAATACAAGAGGAGAATAAAAATACAATGAAAGACAAAGTCAGATGGAGAAGAAGGCCAATGGAGATCTATGTATCTATATCTATATATAGATAAATATACATATATGTGTATTAAATAGTTTCATAGCTCTGTTAGTGTGGGAGGAAGGAGAAAAGTATTTCTATTTCAGAAAATAAAAACTTATTCAGATTACTATGGAGATGTCTAGAGGTTTTAGAGAATAAGAAACGCGGTGTAGTCTACTTTTACCTTTTTTAGTCTATTTTATTTACATGTCTTCTTTTCAGTGTCCAAAACCTAATAATAAAAAAAAAAAATCACATAACCATTTTATGCACTGACATCTAATTAGGTACACTGTGATATTCTTACATTTTTCAAAAGATACCAGTAACATGCACCCTGATCATCTATAAGAGGAAATAAAAAAAATAATTTTACATCTATCATTTTCCAGATATATTTCACATAAATAAACATCTGGTATAAGTTTTAGTTCCATAGTAACCTTCCCATATTTTACAACATAAAGGTATCTATAAATAATCATCTCTGACTTTTTAGTATTTGTATATGCTAAAGGGAACTTCTGCCACAAGACAGATGAACATCAGGAGTTTTTTCTTTCTTGTTGTTTTTATTCTGTTTTTTTTGTCTTACTTTGTAGTGCAGGCTGGCCTTGAACTCACAGCTATCCTCCTGCCTCAGCCTCCCAAGTGCTGGGATTACAAGCATGCACCACCATACCACACCTGGCTCTGTTCTTGATATCTGAGACAAAGTCTCACTATGTAGTCAGGTGGCCTTGAACTTACAATATAGCCCAAGCTGGCCCTGATCTCTCAGTGATCTTCCTGCAGAGAAGACTGGTTTTTCAAGAAATCTTTTATCTTCACATATATTTTACTTTAATTTTGAAGAGAATACCTCCAATTAACATGAGACATGAAAGAATATAAATAAGCATAATGTTGCAATAATCTTTCCTCATAGACCAAAGAATACTTGGAAAAAGCACTTTGAAAGCACTGCCTGTCTATTCTTTGACGTAACTCTAAAATGTTGATGGCTCCATGAGCCTAATTTCCTTCTAAGACTCTGTGTATACGGAACTCTTTCCCTGCTTTGCTTTGTCTCCCTTCGTTTAACTAAGCTGTTGAAGTTGCTAACTACATAAGAGTATTCCAATTTATGCTATCAATGAATAAAAAATCAGCTACACAAAAAAAGCAAATAAAAAATTCTCCAAGTTATTTATTAAGTAATTAAATTAAGTATTAAATTATTAAGTAAATTTTTAGGGTATCAGTCCTAATATGTCTCACATTCAAACCTATGAGAACTCTCCCTAAAGTGTGGTTATGTTTTCAAATACTCATGGTTCTTTTAAACATATTATTTAAAAAGAAAACATTTTAAACGATTATGACCACTGTACTTACTTTAGCCAGCAGTTCTTGTGTTTCATCCGTCAGGGGAGCATGTGAAAACCTGCAATGCTCCCCCTGATAACATTTTGTTCCTGTGTGATAAAACTTGCAAGGATATTCATGTAGCACAAATGTTAAGGAAGAGAACAATCTTAATCCAACTAAAGTTTGTTATTAATTTAATACCATAATTATATTTTTGCTATGTAAGTATCTTTCCTACTAGGAGAAACACTAAATTCTCTATTTTTAATTTTGGTTTTTTTAAGACAGGGTCTCATTATATAGTTCAAACTAGCAATCCTCCTGCCTCAGCCTCCTGAGTGAGGAGGTGTCAGGTATGCATCACCAGGCCAGACTTGAGTTCTCTGTTTAAAGTATGAGACAATAAATTGTATTAATTGGTTTACATGAAAAATCTAATTTGTTTAAATTTAAAAAATTTTTTAAAAAATGTTTTTAAAATTTAAACATTTAAAAAAAATTTTTAAATTTTTTATGGGAGTGGGGATTGAACACAGGCCTTCACATTGCCTATACGTCTCGATCTTTTTTGAGACAAAGTCACACTAAGTTGACCAGGTATGATTGGAACTTTCAATCCTCCTGCCTCACCTCTCAAGTGCTAGCGTTACAGGTCTGTACCATGACCCCTCGTTTGAAAAAAAAATCTAATTTTAGAGAGATTATATAAATCAAATTTAGTGACTATTGCGAGACTATTTTTTCATATTTGCTCTCCTAAAAGAATACAGGTAATGTTTCACTGATATGTAAGAGGAATATTTGTTTTAAGTACCTTGAGAAATGTGATTATTTTAGAGCATTCTTTGGATTGGGGGAAGTCAAAATCAATGACAATGACAATCTTATAAATCCGAGTCCTTTATATAATAGGCTTGTCTAAAATAGAATTAATTTATACAACTATAATATTGTTTTTCAGGGAGTCCTCAAACTAGAATTTCTACTACTGAATGACTGAAGAAACATAATTCTTATGCTGACCAAAGGTACTACTACCCTAAAATATTTACATCGCACATCTTAACATGTTTGTACCATCTGCACTGAAGAACAAAGGTTACTTCGAAATTAAAGGACAACATCTATACAGTTTATAATAAACAGAAAGCATGCACTGTACTCCCAAATTATATAATCTCTGCCTTTTTTATGAGGTAGATTTTACAAATATAGATTCAATTAGTGTCACAGCAGAAATTCTGACAATGTATTTCTGGGACTTAACTAGGTCTCATGAACCCACTGTACCACCAAGGTTGGACAAAAAGAGTCGTCATCTGAGAGATTTTTCTAAAGGACTGCTCTTTGCTTCCTTGTGGAAAAAAAAATCTATTCATAATTTGATCACTTTGATACTAAATTGAACATAGTATAATTTTCTTATAGCTGCTATGCTGTTTTCATTACATTTTTGCATCTTTAAAATGTTCATGTAAGTACCTAGGGAAAGTTAAGCTACTATATCTTATGATAAAGGATATTATGCAAATACAGGCAGTTTTCGCCTCGGGTACAATATCCCTGTACATAAAACTTACACATTTCCTTTTTCTTCTCCATCTCTGTATCATGATCAAACTTACACTCGTCTCCCTGGCCAAAAGAAAGAACAGAAACAAGGCATTACTGCTTACAATTAACTCATTAAAAGGCCTACAAATTTTAAATAAGCAAATGATTACAGGATGAAAAAAAGCCATATGAATAAAAGTAAATCTTAGAAGCAATATGGGCTACTTCTTAATGAGTTGTGGTATAACCACATTATAGAACTGCTTAAAATTTTCTTACATCCAATAAACATTTTTGTCACAAGGCATTTTTAAGCTATGATGTACTTTTTCAAACATAAAAGAATATTTCATTAAAATTTTCTGACACAATCTTTTCTAGGAGGCAAGTTTTTAACAACCTGCAGGTATGATGTTAAACACTGTCAAATGGACACAGTATAAAATGTATTAAACTCTTGTTTTAGTATATTTTGTTGAAGTGTATTTTTTGCTTACACGTTTTTATACCTTAATACATTTCCTCTCAAGAAAGTATTTGCAAACTTTCTTCCCCTTGCGCTCCACGGTATGCTGGTTGATGAATCCCTGGCTCATTCTCACGTGCTGCTGCCTCTCCTTGGGCTCACCATCCTTCAAAAACAAAAACTGAAGTGTGAAACAGGAAATTAAATACTTTATCTTGTCGAACAAAGTTATTTTAAACCACCTTTCACGACATTAAAAAGCGAACTTTGGACTCAGAGTCTAGGTCGGGCTTCATACGTAAGATCTGGGCTTTTGCGCATCAACTGAAATATGGAATTTTTCTGTTTCAACAGCATCCCATCATTGAATATCACTTGTTCAATTTAAGTATTTTATTATACTTTGCCCTTATTTTATGAAAAATGAATTTAAAAAGTTAATAATGAAAGTGCCAGTTCTTATGAGAAAAAGTCTAAGGAGAAAGATCTTTCGAATAATGGAGACACAGCTAGAAATGACAGGCCGAACAAAGAGCTGTGAAATCTGGTTTCACCAAGGTGTGAGCTGCTCATACTGACTGGCTCAAATTAACAGATGTAACTAGAAATTCACCGTCAAAGGTGGCAATAAAGGCATGAAAAGAATTTTATATAAAAATTAAAAAGCGAATCTTAAAATCCATTTTAGCTCTTAAGAAACGTAAGCTATTTTTAATGTATTCACTTGCAGCACAGTTTACAGCTTCTGTATACCAAACTAGTAGCCAGCGTTAGGAACACAGTGCGTGCAACTGCATGAGCTACTGTGCAGAATCACTGCACAGCGACCTGTTTTGCAATAATGTCAAATTGCTTATTAATAAGACCATCAAAATTACATTTTACTAATACATATGTCTTGGCTTGAATCTTCGGTTTTAGTCGACTGTTATTAAATTTTAACGTATGATGGAATTTGTTCTTCATATCACAGGGCTGTTAGCTTCGGCTGAATAATCATCTGAGCCGAAGTCCACCAAACGAAAGGGAAACTGACCAGGGAGCAATCAAAGCTCACACTGGGCTGGTCCTCTATAACTGCGCACCATTATCACTTGATCTTAGCCAAAAGGCCGAGAAGCGATTGTGCACCATTATCTGAACCCTAGAGCTTTGGACTCATTTCTAAAATGTTGAGGTGGGGACAGATTTTGCGTAAGTAGGTTTCAGTCTATAACATCTGTATTTCTAATGTTTGACCCCACCCACCCGCATCCTCTCTGATCAAGCCTAATTAAAAGCCCCCAGAGAAGCAGAGTCCAGAAGAGTCCTGTCCTGTCCTGTGCCCGTACCTCATCCTGGAGTCCGCTCTTCTTCACTAAGGCGTCTCGTCCCCTGTCTCCAGGGTCAACCCGTTTTCGTTTCACTTTCTTCTGTTTACCATTCTTATGACCAAATTTAAGATTTTTATTTTTCAGTTTAGCAGCTACAAATAAGAAAGTTAATTTTTAAAATGACATAAAAGTGTATCAGTTTCTCCTTAGGAAGCACATCTTTAAATCAGGAAGAGTTCTCCACAGCCCAGTGAGGAAAAACTAGTAACTGACCTGTTTTTCTAGAAGCCTTTAAGAGCCCAAAGAGAATTATAATACACCCTGAATTACCAATTCATCCTTTTTGAAAATATATAAGGTATGGCTGGGTGGGGGAAGGAATTCAATGTGTAAGCTGCAAGTGTTCTTTTTAAGTGTTCTGAGTATGCTGGATCCAATTAGGAATTGCCACAGCTTTACAAAAGAAAAAACTGTAAGTGTTTAAAATGACTTCACATTATAGTCAAAACTTTCATTTAGAATATTTGGTACAGATTCAGCTTATCTACAGATACATTTTAAATAGAAGAAATATTTGAGGGGAAAAAAATAGTAAAAGAAAGCATTAAGAATTTAATTTGTTGCTTGGCACTGTGGTTCACACCTGAAATCCCAACAACTCAGGATACTGGGGCGGGAGGATCCTAGGTTCAAGGCCAGCCTAGGCAACTTAGTGAAACTCTTGTCTCACAATTTTTTTTTTCCCGTTCTCTGAGATAGGGTCTTGCTCTATAGTTCAGGACGCCCCTGAACTCACTATGTAGCCCAGGCTGGCCTCAAACTTGTGGCAGTTCTCCTGCCTCAGCCTCCCAAGTGGTGGGATTACAAGTGTGTGCCACCACACCTGGTTCATAATTTTATAAAGGGTAGAGGTGTACCTCGGTGGGAGAGTGCCTGGGTTTAGTCCCCAGAACCACAAAAAAAAGGAAAAAAAATTTCATTTTATTTACAACTGTCATTTGGCCTATGGTTAAATCTCACCTTATTAATCTAAAATATATTTCCAAGTTACAGTTTGACATACAACCATTCCAGAGAATTCTCTAAATGACAGTAGTACAAACAGGCACACCCCACCCCTCAAGCATGGAGGCCATGGATTTAGCACTCTCTCTTAGATGGTCATGACCCCCGATGATCCACCTATACCCTCAGCACCTCCTACAAACACTGAGAAGGTCTCACTGGGGTCCTGGGATCATGCAAGCTTATGTCTCACGTTCAGATCCATGGAAATCATGCTCTTGTCAGAAGATGAAGTACAGGAGTCAAAACTGACTGCATCTCTAAATACACTATAAGTGGTAAAATACTTCGGTACTTACGCAGCTTAGTATCTTTTACTTCCTCTTTCTTCACAGATTCTTTAGAAGATGGTAGGAGTTGAGCAGCATTTGCCATTTCTTTAGCTCGTATGTACTTTTGGAGTTCTTTCTCAAAATTGTTTTCTGGTTCCTGACTGCAGGTATCATTATCACTATATGACTCATAGTCTTTACTTCTTGATTTTCTATACAGCAAACTCTTTGATGACATAGAGTTTCCAAAGTGCCTAACCTAGGTAAAAATTAAATTCTGATTTTAAAAACTCAGAATCAGAATAGCCTGGTTTTCAGAAGAAACAAGACTGGCCATGAGTTGATCACTGTTGAAGTTGAGTAACTGGCACTTGAGTTTCATATACTATTCTCTCCATTTTTATACATTCAAAATTTTACAGAATTAATACCGAACAAACCAGTATGACATACTCAAGGTTAAGGACAATTTGAAAGAAGATTCTGAATTTGTAAACTGTATGGGTGCATTTTACTGAATTAAAAGTCTACACCCCCAAATCTTAATTGACAAGAGGGATTACAGGACCCAGTTTTCAGCTGTATTTCTCTGCACTGATGGTACTTTTAATACTTCATGTCAGAAAACACAAGTAAACTGTGTTAGCCCAACTGGAAAGTGACTTATACTTAAGTCACTTATACTTTGATATTACTGCTGTCAAAGCCAGTTTCTGCTCCTGATACATACAGCAGTTGTGTCAATAATGACAACAAAAAGAAAGAAAAGCCCCGTTTGCTGAAATCAAGTTGACGTACATGTATTTGTTGGTGCTGGAATCAGGTAAGTGCTCTACCACATTCCGGATGCACCAGCTCCCATGAAGTTTAGCTTCAACACAGAGATGGGGTTCTGCTCACTGGATATGATTCAAAGTATTACAGTGATCCAGATGAGCGACTAAGTGCTCTCACCTGCACAAAACACACAGGCCTATCACACTGAAGCAGACTCTTTTTACCTCAGGTAACAACATGTCTGGTTCATATTGAATGAAGACATGATAAGGCAGCACTAATAAAACCAGGACAATCATCCATTACATTGTTTCATGATGTAGCAGAGGTGAATATTACTAATCATTTGCTTCAGAGGGCACTGAAATACACAAAATACAAAGGGCTGAATATTTTTTCATCTAGCTAGCTGTACACTCACTGCTTCAGTTTGCTGTTCTTTGTAAAATATAACTGAGGAAGTATGTTATTACAACGTCTTTCTCCTTTTGTAAAGGAGTTTAATAATACATATCTTTTTCAAGTAAAAGATTTTCTTGCTTTACATACTACTATGTAAAGAGTGTGCACACATGAACACATGCCTGTGTATGTGCTGTGCATGTAATAGAGGACCTGAGGTATAGCCATCAATATTTGAGAGAGGAACAAATTTGTCACAAAAAGAAAGTTATGCTCCAGAGGCTGGACTCAGGAGGAGTGTGAGTCATGCATCTATACATGAAGATCAAATAATACTATACATAAAAACAGACAAAGCAATTACAACAAATTCTCTCTACCCCACCCTTCACCATAACAAAACCAATGAGGAGTTTCCACAAGGGAGGAAAAAAAAACCCAGAAAGCTATTGCTCAAAGAAATTGCATTTAATGTCTAGTAAAAGCTAAGTCTTCTTGTATGCGGTTCTAAGTCCTCTGTAGTGAAGTATGGATTATTTTAGTGTCAAATTAGATGGTAAAGTATTACAGTTATTATGTAATAATACAGTAGTCCAACAAACAATATATGCTGATACTATAGTTATTCATCACAATATTTCTAACATATAAAGTAGAAAAATTAGAATATTCAAAGTATGTCATCTCATCATATTTCTTTCTTCACAGAAACTAAAAAAGGAAAAAAGGCTATAATCAAAGTAAGTTTTTGAGTTGTTCATTTGTTAGCTAGTCAAAGAAAGCTGAGAGTGAATTAGTTAAATAGTATTTAATTGTAACAGTAGAAAAAATGATTCAGAGGAAATGAAGTTGTTTAAGACAACTGGTCATGACATGAAGAAACTGAGAAAAACTTCAACAGACTTTTTTTTTAAGGGGTCCTGGGATTAAACATAGGGCCTCACGCATGCCAGGCAAGTGCTCTACTACTGAGCTCTGTCCTTGGCACTTTAAAATTTTGAGTTAGGGTCTTGCTAAGTTGCCCAGGCCTTGAATTTGCCATTCTCTTCCTTATTAGCCTCTCCAATTGCTGGGATTATAGAGGTGCACCACCACGGTGGGGAACAGGTAATTTTTTAAAAAGATGGAAGTTTCAGTGGTTTTCCTTGGTGCTTAATAAGCTGATGGGTGTTACTAATGCTGCTCAGTTTTGCTGTGTTTTTCAAAGTTAAAACAGGAGCAAGATCTCCACTCCTACAGTATTTGCAGCAGATGTATTTCTCACACTCAAACTGTAGTCCCAGCAGTGTTTTTCCAGATGTAAATACAAGTACAAAGGAAAATGTCATTTCAAAATCCACTTAACTGTGCTACTGAAGAGCTCCTACTACGACAAATCAAGGGAAGACTCTAATGAAATTCCATAAAGTTCTGCCAGGCAATGAATATGCTCAATTAAACCCACATGCTGGTGAACTCACATCAGCATTTACCAGTGCCTATCTGTAGTGAAAGACATTTTTCGAATTAAAATAAAATTTCATTACTTATCAGTGTTAACAGATAAACCTTAATAATCAATTCTGATGACCTAGAACAGGAACTGTGAACTCCAATTAATCAAACAATATCCCATAAAAAAGAATCCTATTACTCTTATTAGCAGACCTGAATTACAAAAAGTTACTACTATTTATTGATTTTTTTTTTTTTTAATAGTACTGGGTTAAACCCAGGGCCTCTGCACTGAGCTATAGTCCAGCCCTTTAATGTTTTCTTCTGAGACAAGGTCTCATGAAGTCTCCCAGTTGTACAGGTTGGGCTTGAACTTGAAAACTCCTGTCTCAGCCTCCCAGGTGCTGGCATTACAGGCATCTACTCCTGTGTCTAGTTAATATGTTAAAATTTGTCAATATAATGTTATTAAAACTTATCTCTTTCATTATATAAGTACCCACGTAATATCCTCAATTTTGCTTCATGGATTTAAAAACCTTAAGTATTTGCTGTCTTAGTCTATAGCAAACGCTTGCTGATTTGAGACTAAAACATAAAGTAGGAAATACAGAAAAATTTTTTCAGCAGCAGCACATATGACTCAAACAACTCAAAGTTTAAAACAAGCACACAGATATTCAAGATACCATATTCAAAAAGTGGCAGAAGTTATAGTGATAGTCTCAGAACACCAAGAATAAAAAGAAGAACATAAAGGATTTCAGACAGAACAGAACGGTCGGAAAGAAACTAGAATCAAATCGGTAAGACTTCACCTTGGCAATGGTGAATAGCAAGGGATGATAATCTCAAACCTAATTCTATTTCAGCCAAACTAGCTATCTACTATGAGGATACATTATTTTCAGAAATGTTTTAACAAACACTCAAAATGTATCTCTTTTTTTCTTTTCCTTTTCTTTCCCTTGTACGGGGATTGAACTCGGCTCTTACACTGAGCCACATCCCCACCCGTCTTTTTTTTTTTTTTTAATTTTGAGACAGAATTTTGCTACATCACTAACTTGCACAGGCTTGAATTGAACTTGTGATCCTCCTGCTTCAGCTTTCCAGAGTGCTAGGACTATAGGTGCAGGCTACCTATAATACCCACATTCTGATACATGGATGTTTATCAATCAAACAAGAAAACAACAATTAGAAAATAATATTAAAAAAAAAAAGATCTAGGAAGCTGGGTGTGGTGGCTCAAATTTATAATCCCGGCACTCAGGAGGCCGAGGCAGGAGGATCGCCATCGAGTCTGAGGCCAGCCCAGACTATACGGTGAGTTCAAAGCCAGCCTGAACTACACAGCAAGACCCAGTCTCAAAAATAATGAGTAGGGCTGGCAGCACAGCTCAGCAGTAGAGCACTTGGCCAGCACACATGACACTCTGAGTTGATCCCAATCACTGGAAAGAAAAGAAAGGAAAAAAAGTAAATTAACAATAGTTTCATTAAATATCTAGCAATAAATGTACCAAAAAAGTGTAAGATGTAAGCTATCTATAAAGAAAATTATAAAATACTGTTGAGAGATACTTAAGAAGATAGATTTTAATTCTCTCTAACAGTTTACATATTTAATACATGCTCAATAAAAATGCCACCAGGATTTTCTATAAAACTTGACAAACTGATTCTAAAGTGCAAAGACTAAGAATAGGAAAATCAAGGTGAGAAGCTTGCTTACCTAATCTCAAGCTCATGCAGTAAGTAACTTGTGAGGTCTTGGGAAGGTACAGACAAAGCACTGAACAGAGTTCAGAGACAGATTCAACTGAACATGAACACTTGATTGTGACAGAGGTGACACTGCAGACCCTGCGGGGGGAAAAGACAGCCCTTTACCCCCAAATGACGGTGCTGGAATAATGAGGTGTAATAATAAAAATAAAAAAGTGAAATGAAATTAGGCTTCTCTGTTTCATAGTGATTATTAACCTCAAAGTGAAAGGCAAAAAACAACATAGGAAAATATTTTCATTACCTTAGGCTATTTACATAAAACATAGAAAGCACTATGTATAAAAGATTTAAAATTTGACTACAATAAATTATAAACTTTTTTTTTTTCTGGTTGTTTTCTGGTACTGGGAATCGAACTCACGACCTTGCACTTGCCAGGCAGGTGCTGTGCTGCTGAGCAAGATCCCCAGCCCCCAAATTATGAACTTTTAAATTTTAAAAAAATGCCACTGGGTAGAAAGCAAGTCACAGAAGGAGCACAGATGTACAACACATAATCCATCAGAATAAAAATAAAAATAACTCATATCCAGATTAAAGAACTATCAATCAAGAAAAAAATCACAGGTAATCTAATGGGGATGGGGGGAAAGGAAAAGAAGACTTGAAGAAGCACAAAAAAAGGAAATCTGAGTAAGCAAACTTATCAAAAGATGCTCCTTACTAACAGTAATCTAGAAAATGCAAACTAAATGAGAATGAGATAGCACTACACCCTTATCAGACTGTAAATGTAAGGATAACAGTACCAAGTAGGGATCAGTCTGTGGAGCAATAAAAAGAGCCTCTCATGTACTACCTCTGGGAATAAAATCTGGTGAACCACTTCACAACAGAGTTAGGAGTTAGGAAAGTGCTTATGGGCCGGGGACACAGCTCAGCGGCACAAGCACCCACCTGGCAAGTGCAAGGTCCTGAGTTCGACTGCCAGTAAAAGGTGGGGGTAAAGTGCTCACACACTTTCCTTCCCAAGTAAATGATGTATCTGCTGTGATTAATTAATCATAATTAATCATGATTATCAATTTGGCTGGAGTAAGCAATACCTAACAGATTAGTAAAGCATGGTTCTGGGTGTGTCTCTGGGGTGTTTGGCAGACAGGCCAGCAAACTGACGGAGGAAGACCTGATTGTGGGTGCCACCATCCCAAAGGTTTGTAGACTGGATGGGATGAAAGGAGAAATAAGTCAGCTTGCATTTGAATATCTCCATCCTGCTTAAGCAGGTACATCTTTTGCTGCATCAGACTCAGGTTTCTTCAGCTTTTCATTGGGGACTTACACATTGACTCTCATGGAGCTTCCAGGTCCTGTTCTCTGTATTGGTTCGCTTTTTGTTCCAGCGACCAAAACACCTGACACACACAACTTAAAAGAAGACAGCTGTTCGGCTCATGGTTTCAGAGGGCTAAGTCCACGGCCAGCTGTCTCCAAGGCAGAAATATCGTGGTGGAAGGGTTCAGTGGGTGAATACCGCTCACTTCACGGTGGCAGGAAACCAGAGATTAGAAAGACTGTCAGAAAGGAAGAGGCCAGGGCCAGATCCAGACCCAAAGCCACATGTCCACGACCCACCCAGACACATTTTGAAGTGCTTTACTAAACCCCTAGACAGCCCCCAAGCCAATTAAGTTGACAATGAAGTGTAACTGTTACATATGTGCAAGCAGGATACAAGTATAGTAAAAGAATGCATCAGCACTGCCCATAACCAACAAAAATGACAGCCAGCCCACTATCTACTTACAATATAACTTCATATATTCAAATAATGGAATACTATTAAGCTGATATGAAAAAGAATAAACAAGTATATGAAGTACGATAAAAAATACAATAAATGTGTAACTTTTTAAAATTTACAAAAATGTATTGCCTTAAAATATTTTCCTCAAAATCTTTCCCTCAAAATATTCCCCATCACTTTGGGTTTTTTTTTTGTTCCAAGAATCAAACTCACAACCTTGCACTTGCCAGGTAGGCGCTTGCCACTGAGTTATGTCCCCAGCCCCTCCCCATTACTTTCAACACACTTATTCCAGCATTCTTGCCACTTTCTGAAGCAGTTCTGGAAGTCTTCTTTCATGAGTGTCTTTAGTTGCACTGTCATGGTTGCCCCAAAGTTCTAAATTAATTCAAGCACTCTACCACTGAGCTGCATTCCCAGCCCCTGAACCAATTTAAAATGTTTACTTTTTTATGGTCATATGGATATTTGGGAAGAGTCAGAAACTGTGTAAGTGTGAGATCTGATGGATAAACTGCATGTGGACTGTATTTGTTAGGGCTCTGTAGAGAAGCAGAATCAAGACAAAATATATGTAGAATTATGCAAGAGGATTTATTAAGCAGGTTTACAGGATCAGAGGCAGGAGAGTCCACAATGGCCATCCCCAAGATTAGAGAGACACAAGTCCAAAATGGCCATCTACAGGATCAGAGGCAGAAGAAACCATGACAGGTGTCTATACACTGGAATGCAGGGGGACCCAGCAGTTGCTCAACGTAAGAAGCTGGAAGCTGCAGAACAAAGGGAACCAAGGATGCAGCACCAATCCCAGGTCAAAGGCCTGGAAGCTCACTGCAGTCACTGGTGCAAGTATACATTGGAAGGCTAAAGAAACAAGACCGATGTCCAGAGGTGATGATAAAAACTAGACCTCTTCAGGAAAGGGCATGCTTTCTTCTTCTTTCCCTTTTTATTCCATTCAGACTGCAAGCCTATTGGTTAGTACCACCCCCATCTAAGGGGGGTCTTTGCCCCTGAGTTTGCTGGCCTACACATCAGCCAACCACAGACACATCTAGAACTGTGCTTTGCTAATCTGCTAGGGGTTTCTAAATCCATTCAAGTTAAAATAACATGATTAATGGTCACAAGGACACACCATGCTTTTGTGAACCTGCCTCACCACTAGATGGTATGTGGCGGCAACATTCACTGTGTATTTTTTTATTACATCTTGTAAAAACACTCACAAATGAAGACTCGTAGAACTGCTTCAGAAAGTAATACAAAAATGATACGATAAGCAAGTTGGAAGTTAGGGGGTGTATTATAAGGGTTATCAATAGCAATATGTCTTTTACTGTAATACATTTTTTAAATGTACACCTTCACAGTATATTTTGATCACACCATGTATATAACACAATATTTATGGCTCTTAAAATAATGTTGAGTGAAAGCAGCAAGACAGAAAAGAACAAAAATACTATTCTGTTACAGAACACAAACACGGGCAAGAAAAACTGTACTCTGAGGAATGATGACATATGCAGTGAAATGTAAGAAGCAAGAAAGTGAGTCACACACAAGTTAGGGATGTAGTTAGCTCTAGGAGGAAAAAAAGGCTACGGCTGAGAAAAGAGGAAGCAACATTCTTTCCTGACTTACAGAGTATTTATTTGGGTACTGTCTTTCAAACTACCCAGGATACTGTAGATTTGTATTTTATAGTCTTGTGTATAATCAGTACGGGCAGAAGTCTCCCTGACAATGAGTAACTAAGTGTTCATCTTCTTACAGAGCTGCTTCTTAGAAGCTACTTAATATAATATCAGAATGCTCCACTGGCTGGTCTACTGTAGGTGGTGATATCCAGATTGGGAAAGCTTTATGAGAGTCTAAAGCACTGGGTCTTATGTGAATAAAAAATGGGGTATAAAGTAGAAAAATGTTAGTAAAGTAGTAAAAAATTTCTGTGGGAACTTGAACTTGCTGTTTCTCAGGGTCAGCCCCAGCTCTTGCTCATGGTAACATACATGTTCTAAAGGGCAAAAGAAGTTTTCCTGGACAGCTGAGAAACTTCCCAAGGGGAAGACAGTTGTGCATGTGGCATCTTCTGTCCTCCAGCCTTCTACAGGGTTGAGCAGAAGTACTATTGAAGTAATCTCACCGCTAATCCAAACCCATTCTTGGGTAGTGCACTAAAATTCATGATTTAAAAAAAAAGTTCAAAAAGAAGCCAAGTAGCAGGTACTGGCTTTGTAATGGCCTGAACTGTGTCCTCCTAAGACTGTTACATGGAAGTCCTAACTCTCAATAACTCAGAGTGGGACCTTATCTGGAAATCAGGCCATGCCACATGTAATTAATTACGATGAGGTCACCAGGGTAGGCCCTAATCCAACATGACTGGTGTCCTTACAGAAAAGGGATATTCAGATACAGACCCACAGAGAGCATGCCAAGTGAGTATTAAAGCAGAGATGAGAGTGATGCTTTTAAGAGCTAAGGAATATTAAACACTGCCGAAGACCCACCAAAATCTGGGGGAGAGGGCCGAACACATTCTTCCTCACAGACCTTGGAAGGAACCAACCCTGTCCATGTCTCGTTCTCCGACTTTCAACCTGCATGATTACGAATTTCTGTTTAAGCCACACAGTTCATGGCAGTTTGTTATTGGCAGCCCTACAAATTAAGCTATAAATTACTAAGGTTGGTTAAGATAGCAAATCAAAATGCTTAAAATTTTTAATGTAATTTGAAAAGAAAGTTTTTAAACAGTTTATAGCCCATTTCAGAAACAGGGAATATCAAACTTATTCGACATTATTCATCTGATATGTAGAAAAATTAGGGAAAACTAAAGTAAATCATTAAAAACAGCTCATGGTAAATGATAGCAAAGTTACTGAATGATAACTTTTTTAAAAAGCGTAACCAAATTTCCCTGATGTAAGTTAGCTGTATTCCAAATGCTGACTGTGATGAGATAAACAGGACCCCTCCTTAAATTTCGTACATTTCACTCCTAGCTGTTTGCAATAATTCAACTTCACCTTACTTTTTTGGGAATCTGTTCACACTCCAGTTTAACTTCCCATTTTATTTTTTCTTCTTGAGCCTCTTCAACTTCTGCATCATCTATTTCATCATCGGTTCTGCAGCAAAAATATCAAATAACACATAGTGGTTTTAAGCCTGAAATAGGTTCACAACACATTAAATTCACTGCTTTTGCTTGTCTTCACATTCGCTCTCAAAGAAATTAAAAATTCAAAGTCTACTCTAAATTCTCCAGATATATAACATATACAATTATGAGGAGTAAATGCCACTGTTTGTGAATACCTGTAACCTGTAAAATTAACATTTTGGATTATATGAGTCACACATATTCTTAATGTCCAAGAACTAACTGCTATATAAACTGTTCACTCATCCATCATTCCATTCATTAATAAAGACAAACATACAATACAAATAAATTTACCATATACCGAGTTCTGGACTTTATATCCTGGGATATAACAATGTGAAAGACAAAGAGCTTTGCAACTACTTGGGGGAAAAAAAACAATTTCTGTAAACACTGTAAACCTAGAGTTGAAGGCAGAGGCTTTCTGGATCTAAAAAATTGTAAGTTAGCAAAGAGGAATGGAAGAGTGAAGGGTAATTCAGGCAGAATGCAGGGTGCCTTCTGTGGTTAGGAGAGAGAAATACATTCAAGTATGAAGGTGAAAAAACTTGTTTTCAGACTCACAGGAATGAGATTATCACCCATAGAAATCACATAATTACCTGAAAATATGCCAGCAATACTAAAAATGAACCTAAGATAAACGAACTGATGGAAAAAATAAGGTTAACAGTGAACAAGTGTATATCTGAAACCACACTCTATTATCTGACACTGCCCACTCCAAATCTGGGTTCACTTTTATTTTTAAATTTTTTTTGGTACTGATAATCGAACTCATGACCTCGCGCTTGCCAGGCAGGCACTGCGTCGCTGAGCTATATCCCTGGCCCCGGGATCATTTTTACCCCTAGATTAAGGTCCGTAAGTCTCAGCCCTCATATAAACAGACTGATGAGCAGGATAGCACAGAGCTGACCACCTTCTCTGTAAAACAACTGGTGGAGGCGGAGGGGGGGGGGGATTTAATGCAGGGCCTTTACACTAAGCTACATTCCCGAGCCTTTTTTTCAAACAGTGTCTCACTAAGCTGTTGAACTGCCCAGGCTGGGCTCAAACTTGCAATCCTCCTGCCTTAGCCTCCCAGGGTGCTAGAATTATAGGTGTATTTCACTGACTAAAGACAACACACATTTTTAATCCAGCTTAGGCATCCTGAGCTCTCCTGGTTTCTTCTTCCCTCACTGGCTGCTAATTCTCAGTCTCTTCTGTTGGTTCCTCTTCGTTACAACTCTAAATGTCCTCATACTTCTCTTCACTGTCTGCATTCTTGTTCCTGGTGCTCTCCTGCCCCAGGGCTTCTGATTGTATCTATATGTAACTAATTTCAACATTCAAGTCTCCAACCCAGACTCCTTCCCTTAAAACAAACAGAACCAACTTCCCACCCAACATAGAGAGCCTCCTGGATTTCAACCAGATGTATTCAACACTGAACCTGATCTCTCTGAAACCCAACCCACTGCCATCTTAAACAGCAACCCATCCTTCAAATGGTTCTAACCACACCATTAAGGCAATCTTCAAGCCGGGCGTGGTGGCAGACACCGTAATCCCAGCACTTGGGAAGCTGAGGCAGGAGGATCGTTGTGAGTTCGAGACCAGCCTGGGCTACAAAGTGAGCTCAAGGCCAGCCTGAACTGCATAGTGAGACCCTGTCTCCAAAATAAAAGGCGATCTTGACTCCTCCCTCACAACCCCCCGCGTACATCTGTGGGGAAGTCCAGTTTGCTCTAACTTCAAAACATGCCCTTATTCAACTACTTCTTGCTACTCAATGATCCAAACTGCTGCGGCTCCCCTACAGACCCTCACCCGCAGCAGGAGTGACAGTGCTGAAACACACCTCCGATACTGTCGCTCCCAGCTGAAAGCCCTCCGGTACACTCATCTCACTCAAGTAAACACGAAAGTCATCGTGGCACCTTTAAGTCCCTACCCAAGGGGCTCCTCCAGTCCTCTCTACTACCACCCAGAACTCAGGGCCTGTCTCACTGCCCAGTCACACCACACTTATCCCACCTCCCCACCCCCACACAGAACACTCTCCTGCCCACACACCAACACCCCGCACCTCCATCAGGTTCTGACTCAGGTACAACTTTAAAATTAAAGTTAGCCTGGAGGCTTTTCAACTGTCTTTAAAATATCAACACCCTCCCTACCATCCCACTAATTCTTTTTTTTGCCTTCTTAAGACAGTTTCACTATGCAGTTCAGGCTGGCCTTGAACTCAATTTGTAGCCCAGGCAGACCTCAAACTCACATCAACCCTCCTGCCTCAGCCTCCTGCATGCTGGGATTACAGGTGTGTGCCACCACGCCCGGCTCACAAGTAGTTCTTAACTCCCTAGTCTGCTCTCATTTTCTCCATGGCGTTTATTAATTTACTATCATCTGAAACACTACATATTTAAATTGTCTGTCTCTTCCTCTCCCTCAAAATATACACTTTATGAATAGCAGGATTTTTATATCTTTTGTTCATTTATTGCTATAATCCCTGGGCTTACAATGCCTCCTAAGTAGCACGTGCCCAAAAAAACTGAAAAGAAAAAGTTAAATGAGTATTTTCATCACAAACTAGTAAAAGAAAAAACCCAGACACCATGAAGGATCAACCCTTTTGAGTGCATAAAGCAAAGAAAAAAAAATCCCTACTTTTAATGCACTAAAAAATAACACGATGGACAAAGTCAGAAGACAAAATGTGAGTAAAATATTTGTAGAGATCATAAAATTTGAAAGAGGAAGATCAACAGCCAAGAAGAAAAACAGGCAAACAATATGAATACACAGGTCATCGTATTTCCCAACTGGAAAACTCCAAATGTCTTCTCCCCCAACTGCCCGGTCCAGTACTGGAGACTGAACCCAGGGCCTTCACACTGAGCTACACCCCCAGTCCCTTTTTTTAAATTTCTTGAGACAGTCTCACCAGGTGAGACTGGGTTTCTAAGTGCAACCCTAGCCTCAGGATTATAGGTATGCATCACCAGAGCAATCTCCAGCTGTCTTTTTTTATTTTCCTAAAACGATCTCTGCATTTTTAATTTCTTAAAAGTCATGTTCACAGCACACTCCAATGCTCTGCTGAAAAAAAAGTTAAATGAGTATTTTCATCGCAAACTAGTAAAAGAAAAAACCCAGACACCATGAAGGATCAACCCTTTTGAGTGCATAAAGCAAAGAAAAAAAAACTGTATTATAGCAAAATTGATTATAGCAAAAGCATTGTGACACGCTGTTTTGTGTCAGTGTGTCAGAAAACAAAACAGAAAAGTTTTAAAAATTAGTTCTCTGAAATTTCTGTCAATAATTACCAGTCAGGTAAATCTGTTTCAGAATAATAAACATTTCCAAAAAGTAATAGTTCTATCCAAAATCACACTCCTCTGAAAGGCACTAAAAGCTATAACAGAAACAAAAAACAACTATTTTTCTAGGAAGAACATATTTGGCATTTTAAAATAATGTTAAAAGAGAAGCTTTCAAATGTAAGTCATGTCTTTTCCTCTACTTTCAGTCAAGTTTTTGTGAATGAATTGTTCATCCAATATATTTTGAAACTGGTAGTTTTAAAAAAATTTTTTTTCCAGGCATGGAGGCACATGGCTGTAATCCTAGCACTCAGGAGGCTAGGGCAGGAGGATCACCGTGTTTGAATCCAGCCTACACTACACAGTAAGACCGTATCTCAAAAATAAATAATTTTTTCTATTTTATTCTGTGATGATCCACTGTGTTGAATTCTCTGTTTTATCAGCATCTCTTGTTTTTCCCAGAAGTTCACATTGTTCACCAAGTAGTACCTGTCTCCTTCTAACACTTACAGGTCTTACTTTTTACTGTAGCAGTTTAGCCTGAGAAGCCGGGTGATGAAATCACAGGGCCGGAAGTCACTGTCTGAGCGACTTAACCTTAGCTCTGCCACTCACACCGTGCGAGCTTGTAGGTTACATAACCTCTCCGTGCCTCAGTTTCCTCAACTGTACAAAACGAGGATAACATCATTTTCTCATCAATATTGTTGTGAGGATTATGGAAAGTAGGGCACATAAAGTGCACAGTAAAGCTCTTAATGGTAACCTGAATTAAAGTAATAATTTCAATTAAGATGTCAGAGACAATGAGAAGTGAACAGAGCAGAGAGCAACAAAGAGGTAAAACGAGCCGGGCTCAAGGTCAGCCTGAACTGCATAGCGAGGCTCTGAAAGACCAAAACAAAGAGATAAAAAGAACCCGAACTGGAGATATAGCGGGAATGAGGGAAATAAATGAAATGAAATGATGTATGATTGGGTTTCAGCTTAGGGAAAACTTGGGAAACACCGAAGAAAAAGGTTTGAGATGATTTTTAACACTTCGAGCTCAAATAGAAAGTGAATGAATATCTGTGTGTAAGGGACATACATCTTCAAAAACGAGATTCATAAATTGGACCCACTTGGCCAGCAATCTTAACTTGATTGTTCAACATCACAGGGCACATTAAATCCGAACGGTATTTGCTGAGGTTTCCTGGTTTGTTCTTTTTCAGAGTCTCGATTTGGGGCTCTGGGTGGCCTCGCACTGACCGTGATCCTCCTGCCTCAGCCTCCCGAGTGCTTAGATTACAGGCGTGCAGTAGCACGCCCTGTTATTTGCGGTTTTTTAAAAATAAACTTGTGGTTTTGTGCTCGCCACGGAAGAGCCTTGCACGTGTCCGGGGGAAACCGCGACCCGCGGGACGGTGCAGCGAGCACCGGCGAGCGCGGGGCGGCGCGCACGCAGAGCCTGGCTCCCCACGGGCCGGGGGGCAGGGCAGGTGCCGAGGAAGGAGGCTCCGGGACCCCGCGGGACGCTCTGCTCTACACGCCCGGCCTCCTCTCCCCGCGCCCGGCGCGACTTCGCCACGTGCGACCCCAGCCCCGCGCAGCCCGGCGCCGCCTCCGAAGGCACCAAGGGGCGGGGCCCGCCGGCACCTACACCGAAAGAGAGAAAAGATGAAGAATGATCACCTTTCGTCAGAGTCCGGGGCCGGTCTTTTGCCGAGGGCCGGGTTGGGAGGTTTTGAGAAAAGATTTTCAAAATCCATGACCCCCACGAGCGGCCTCCGCGTTGCCAACCAACGGAGCTACAGCCTGAGACCCAGATCGAGTCAAGAGATGCCGTGCAATACGCAGGGCCGCACGCCCCGCCCACGCATCCGGCGCATGCGCCGCCCCGCCCCGCCCCGCCCTCCGCGACTCCGTCCACGCCCACTCTTGCCCTGCCTCCGGTCCACATTGCGCATGCGCAGTCCTCGTTGTGTCGTTCTCTTTGTACTGTATATTTTCATCTATATTATGGCAACAATCTAGTAGAATTTTTTTAATCCAGCAAAATTTTTAAACCTAACATTAGGGTTCTTGTCCTTCTGGTGAAAAGTCGTCAATGGCGATCAGGATATTTTTAAGGAATGGCAGCAACATCTCCCATTGATTTGAGCATGCCGCCATCATTTTAGAAATGTTTCCAATTTTAGCTGATTTAATCCTGGCGAAAGCTCTATAAGCTAGGTAGTATTACCATTCGCATTTTTCAGATGAATAAACAGAGGTGTAGACCGGTAATGTAACTTGTAGGGTTTCTACAATCAGAAAATAAATACATAAATAACCGAGGCAGGAAAGTTAGTTTAATTAAAAGTACCAAGCGCGAAGAGGATGCACATCTGGTTGAGCAAACGTATTGAAAGGCGTGGATCTGAGTTCAGTCTTAACATAATTTCCACAGGAAAGGATGAAATTGGGAAGTAAATGGGCATCTGCTATAAAAAGGCAGCAAGGGAGAGCATGCTTGGAAAACAGAATTGTTCAGTTTTGCTTAGTGTGAGGCCAAATAAGGGGATAATACAAACTGCTGATTGGGCTAATGACAGAGAATCTAACTTGCTACTGTAACTTAAAAGACTGACTCCTAGCACGAATCAATGCCCATTCCACGACAAGTCAAGGGAATTGTTTGGAGCCAGACATCTCTCCCAGGAAAATTCTACTTTCCATGTTGAAGTATAGGCAATCACATTCTTTTGCCCTTGAATCGTTACTAAAAATTAAAAGAAAAATTAATGTTATAAAAGCCAATAATATCCCCTCTTCAGAGGAGAGAACTATATTATACAACTCGAATTATTGCTTTACGTAGTTTTTCTTATTTAGAAAGAAAGCACACAGCAAAGAAAACCAGATATAGAAGGAAACTAGATTCTCTTGGTATTACCCCAAGTGGTCCTCTAGAAAAAATGTTTACTTCATATCCCCACGACGCTGAACTCTGCTGATTTAGAGCAATTTTTTTCAACCTCGGCAATGGTATCCCTTCGGTTTGGATAACTGTCACGGGAGAGTCGTGTGCATCAGGGGATGTTAAAATGTTCAGCAGCATTCCCGACCTCTACCACTAGATGTCAGTCGTACTTGCTCGCCAGGCTTCACACTTGGCGGAATACGGGGGGAGGGGGAGCCCCCGGACATTATCATTTCCAAAGGTAAGAATGCTTCTACCAAGAGAGGTGACAATCACTCATTAAGCTTGAAGTTGAGACTGTCATTTGACCACTTAGGGCTCCTCAGTCCAGTGAATCAACAAGAAAAGATTTACTATCCTAGCAGGGGTGATTACGTTATCCTGACTACACAATGAAGTAAAGGAAGAGTATGTCTAGAAAACAGGCAATTTTGTGGGGAAGGTCAGGGCTAAATATTTCTATATTAGAGTCAATAGAAAACATTCCCACCATAGGCAGCACTAGTAGTGCCTCAAATGGGTTACCCACCACATAAGGAGCCAAGACCAGCTAACAGCAAAGGAAATATGATAAAAGGTAGAAGGTAGTTATACAACCATAATCATATGACCAGTAGCAAAAATTATTGTGATAGGAATATTTCATGCTTAATGTAATATAAATCTGCAAACATACATGCATGTGTGGAAGTAGAATCATGTGTTGCATAACAGTGTTTTGGGTAGGGATGAACTGCATAATTGATAGTGGTTCCAGAAGAACCACTTATTAAAGAAGCAGAAAAATTTCTATTGCCTAATGACATTATCGCTGTTCTAACATCACAGCACAGTACATTATTTACATTTATGGTGATACTGGTGTAAAGGAAGCTACTGTGCTTCCAGATGCATAAAAATATAGCACATACACTTATGTACAGTATGCAATGCTGGAAAAGGAGAACAAATTCTGGAAAATGATAACCAGTAAGTTTGTGTATTTACTATACTTTTTATACTCCTACTTATGTAAAAAAAAGTACTCTAAATCAGTATGCCATGTAATGCCAGCAACAGCCTCATACATCTCAGTATTTTCTGTATAGAGTTTTGAAAACTTATACTGTGATTTTCACCCAGAAGCCAAGCTAATACCATATTTCTCAGAATGTAGCCTTGTTATTAGCGGTGCATGACTGCATTTACCTGTCTATCCATCCATTTAAGTTTTCCCTTGTCTCATTCCTGTTCTCATTCCTGTCATCTAACGCAGATTATTTTATAGTAGCTAACTTTATATCGTATTATTTAAGTTTCTGTGGAGAAGCACATTCTTTGTTTAGAATGCACTGAGGACGCAATGATTTGTTTGTTAGAGTTTCTTAAGATAAGGCTTTATTATACAGCCTGGATTAACCTTGAGTTTACCATCCTCCTGTCTCAGCCTCCTGAATGCTGGGATTATAGGTGTGTCTTGGATCTCATGTGCAGAAGGGTAATCCTTTAACTATCCTTGCTAAAATGTTTGGTGTCTGCCCATTTGTACTAGCTGCGCCCTTGGTTCTCACTCAATAAAGGTGACGGAAACTGGTATTGACTTTTCGTATTCATCCACAGGCACCTCGTTCTCGGGACCGGTTCACCCTGGAGGGATAGGGATGAGTAGTCCCACAAGTTGTAAGTTATGAAAGGAGACATGACCCTAACCTAAAAGAAGGACAAGAAGAAGTTTAACATCACTCAAAGGTAGAAAAGAGACTTTTTATTCTTTTTAGGAGAAAAGGCTGGTATATCATTTTTAATCAGGTTGGTTTCATCATGGGAGGCAGAGCTATGATTTGTTATCATCTTTATCCGGAGGTTCAGTATAGCTTAAAGAAGAACACATGGATGCCTAGTTGAAAAGTGTATACTTGGTAATTTTGAAATTTCTCATGTTGTCTGGGCTACACTATGTTTTCCAGTATTCCTGTCCTGTACTATAGTTTAAGGCCATAAAAAAGATTTTGCACAAAATTTGGAAGGTAGAAGCAAAATAGCTGTATATGTTTTTACATTGAGTTGGTCAGTGAGAGGCAACATCTGTTGTGGAGTCACCTGATAACTCACTTTCAACCCCCTCCCAAAGTTGTAAAATCAGATTTTCATGCGACACTGTACTGAATTGGGCCAATGTATTGTATGGCTCGAGTCTCCCAGGGTGCTTCCCACACAGCCCGCAGCCAGGAGAAATCCTAAAGCAAGGTGGTCTAGCCAGATGGGGCAGCTCTCAGCAATGTCAATTTACTTGATTTTGTGGTACTGAGAATTGAACTCAGGGCCTTGCACATGCTGGGCAAGCACTCTGCCACTGAGCTACCTACCTACCCCACTTATTTGACTGAGGTTAGGTAATTCATAGAGAACAGACACATTTTCTCAAAGTTCTGGAAACTGGGAAATCCAAGATTAAGAAGCCAACATTTCATCGAGTGTGGGCCTTTTTGTGTCTTCTCATGGCAGTAGGTAGAAGGGCAAGAGAGAGACAAACTGTGTCCTCATGTGGCAGAAGAACTAAAAAGGGAGAATCCACTCCTATAAGCCCCTTTCATAGGTGGAGCTCTTGTGACCTAAACACCTCCTATAAAGTCCCACCTTTCAATACCATTGCACTGGGAATTAATTTCTGACACATGAATTTTGGGGGACACATTCATAATAGTTGGGCCTGGGGCAGAAGGCAGCTTGAAAGGTTTGTGGGTGGTAAAAAGGAAAATAAAGAAATGGTCCCAATGATGTCCTTGCTGTCTGCACCTTTGTCTTGGACAAATAGTAACCTGTGCTTCCTACAGGTGTCTTTTGAACTAGGGTGGTACAGAACTTGGAACTTATGAGATACTGAGAAAACTATGGAAAAAGGGCTAGTCAGGCAAAAACCAAAAGAAAGCTTTTGTAGCTAGAGGAATATGAAAAGAAAGAATCTTTAGGACAAACACCATTATCAGGAAAAGAGAAAGTTACTGAATAATTCACTAGAAGACAACACAAACTTTAGATGTCTATATGCCTAATAAAATGTCCTCATATGAAGCAAAATGTGATGCAACTATACAAGAAATGGATAAATCCAACATCATTTGACGGATTTCAATTCATTTTATGTAACTGCTTCATCAAGTAGACAAGGAAAAATCAGCAAAGAATTAGAAAATAAGAAAGTAACAAAGGGAAAATAAAATAAAGGGACAAAGGCTGGGCATGGTGGCTGAGGCAGGAGGATCATTGTGAAAGTGAGCTCAAGGCCAGCATGAACTACATAGAGACACCCTGTCTCAAAAAGACAATAAAATAAAATAAAATAAAATAATTTTTAAAATAAAATAAAATAAAGGGCCAAAGAACAAAGGTCTAAACAAACTAAATAAACTAAAGGCAAGGATAGAGATATTCCTCGAGGAAAATTGGAACTGCAGAAGACAGAAAGCCAACAGAACCAATGGAACTGGCAAAAGGAACCCTGGCTAAGCAGCACCAAGCAGCAACAAACCTGATGCTTTTTTTTTTTTTTTTTTAATAGCTCTTATACCATTTCTCCCTAAAGAGCTACATAAAAGCTCTTTGTTGCAGGCACTTCCTTGGTATCCTTTTTATCCCCTCGCTTCTAGAGAGGGCTTTTCTCTGTTCTTTCTAATAAGCCATTCTTCTTGGTCTATTCCCCACAGCTTGCTGTTCAGTCCTGTCTGTCTGTACAGCTTTACACAAGAGCTCACAGAGGGAGAGAGCCGGTTCAATCACAAGACTCCTAAAAACAGCAAAGTTTCTTTTAGGGAAGCAAAATATCTATCTACCACAAAATTCTTAGTGAGTTATAACTAGAAGACAGCATATATCCAACCTGAAAGAGCATATATAAAATCCCTAGACATCATCCTAACTGGGAAGACT